CCTAAAATTGTAAACTGGCAGCCTGGGGGATACGTATACGTTGACGCCAACGTCGGCGGCTGGCGTTGGCACAAAGATTATGCCAACCGGCCATGTAGAGCGGTAGAGGGTCAGGTCAGGGACAGGCGACAAGGCAATAATTCTTTGGTTTTCACATTTTCCTACCCGTCGCCCGGTGCCCGCCGGCCGGCGTTGTCGAAAATCTTTTTGCGGCTTATGTTACACCGTAGGACAACCTACTGCCCGCCCAGCAACCAAAACCCTACCAACCAAACCAAACCAACCGCCCATCTAGATGGGTTTGAAAGTGGGCGTGTCCGCTGGGACGGGCGACACATGTTACGGGTCAGTGGCGCCGCTGCTGCCGCCGGCTTACACTTTTCGGTTTAGATTTTATTCATTTGCATATGCATGCTTATGATGAGATTTATTTATTTGATTCTCGCCCCTTTTTTTCCATCTCTCTTGTGTTTTTTTTTTATATATTTTTTATTTTGCGGCTTTTACCGTTTATGGGCGGGTTAAGTTGGCTATGTGAAATTTAAGGCAGGTGACACATAGCCCGCTGACCGCTGGGGTTTTCTTGTTAATGCTTAAAGTTTAGTAAGAATATTATAATTACGTTGTTATGACGTTGCTTTAAGTTTATCTGTTAGCAAAATGCTGATTAATTAACTCAATTTAAGTGTAATTAATATAATCAAAACGCATGCTCATTGGGAATTAATCATTCGATGGCTATAGCTATGGCCATAAACGATCAATCATTTCAAATAATAATTAATAACTGTGGTGATTTTTATTTGCCATCATGTTAAAGTGAAGTGGTTAAGAAAAACTATAGCGCGGGTACAGCTCTTTTTTTTTGGAACAGATTGGCAGCACTGTCCTTTTGCTTGATTTTTAACATAGCAACACTGCAAATATTTAAAGCGATTGCCGTTTTTCTGTTTCTGTATAAAAGGAATGTATATAAATATGAAAATCAATGATAATATTTTATAGTTTTTGTGGAAGATTTTCAAAAGCCAACAGCTTAACTGCCTTTAAACTGAGCAAAAACAGACTAGCTTTTCCTGCATTTCCTTAATCCAAAAGAGCATTTTAATGCCAAGTTCATTTCCGAATGTCACTCCGCATCAACTTAATCATTTCAAAAGGCAGCAAATGAATCACAGAATATAGCTTTTCGGTACAGTCACGCTTTACATGCTACCAGGTGGCAACTCTGGCACGTCAACTGGCGTAACGGGAAACGGAAATGGAAACCTAACCTCAACATCAACCTTCAACTCGCCACGCACGCAACACACGCGCGATTAGCAGCAATTTGTACAGCAATTAAGCTCAAGTGCAATAAAAGTTATTTGCAACGTAAAGTGCAGTAAGGGTAAGGGATGGTAGTAGGTAGCTGTGGGTGGGTGGGTGTGTGGTGGTAATGGTGGCAATACAGCTGGAACAACAGCGATGACAAACGTAAGTCGAGCAACGGCGGGAGCCAAAAGTTATGCACTTTTTTAAGTGAATATGATTGCATTCTAATGTCAGGCCATAAATTAGCGACTCGGACTCCGGCGTCGTAGCATGACCTCAGCTCAGCACGCGACCCATGCCGCCGCTGACAGCGCAGCGATACCGCGAGCTCCGCCACCACCCACATACCACCCATGCTCTTCCCTTCGACCCCACTGCGCGTTACGTGACAGGAGTATGTGAAACTTTTCAACTTGAACGAAAATTTATATGCTGAAAAATATAGCCAGCGAAGCCAGTCCGCCGCACACCACCACCGACCAACCACCCAACGAGCAGCAACCACAGAACAAAAAAAAAATAAAATGAGTAGACGAAAAAATAATGGTGAAAACCATAAAAGAGTTTGCCACACATAAAATACCCAGCACTGTGATTTCTTTATTTTTTACGATCCGCCATAAAACTATGGAATGACTTCATTTGATTTTGAAATAGATGCGATATTCGAGAAGAAAGCTATCAGAGAGATAGCATTAAGATGCTTTAGAGTTGAAGAGGCAGTTAGGGATCATAATTAATAATTATTGTTGGCTAAAAATTAGGTTTTATGAATTAATTCTGCAAATATCATTGATTTTTAAGGACATTTTACCAGTTATGATACCAAAAAGTCATGTTTACAAAATGAAATATGTAAGTTTAGTCAGATATAGTTTGCCAATCTGTTTCAATGAACCAAATAAGTTAGTATCCCAAAAATAATGACTATATCTCTTATAGATCCTGAGATCACATAAGCTAGTTTCGCCCATTATACCCTCTTAAATCTTTGAGGTATCAAATAAAAAAAAGAAAGGGGCAAAAAATGTGCGAAAAATTCGCAGAGCATGACTGGGCTGTGGATGAATTGTGTGGGAGAGAGGAGTTGGAGAGTTGGGGTGACTGTGGAATGAGGGGTACTTACCCTGCGAATGCGACTGAGTGTGATGAAGTAAGAGGTTCGCAAGTGGGGAGGCGACATTTTGTGCGGTTTCGCGTGCCACTGGAAAGTTGAACGTGCTCGGCTAATGCTGCTGCTGCTGCTTCTGCTGCTGATGCTCCAGCTTCAGCTTCAGACTCTAGCCTTAGCCCTCTTCTTCTCCAGCTCTCCAGCTGAATCCTTCATTTTTTTTTACTGGTCCTGCCTGCAGCAGCAAGCACATCTGGCAGTGGCCAAGGCCACATGAGGTGTGGGCGTGGCACATCCACTCGCATGCCGCCGCTGAAGATGAAAAACTGCTGCGGATTACGTGGTGGTAAAAACTTTTTGACGCTTGATTTTCATGCTGATTGTAATCCCAGTGTGTGTACGAGTATTTTTCTCCAGCTAGCTAGCCAGCCAGCCTGCCAGCCAGCCAGCCTGATCATGGACCGAAACTAAATATTGTTTCGCGGGGGCATGGGCGTGGCAATTAAAAACCGCCCGTTGCAAGTTTTTGGTACGAAAAAGCTGGACTCTGGGAATATAATGCCAGTGAAGCGAGTTTCCAGGGGTGTGTTTTTGGGAGTTTTTGGTTTTTACCAGGCGGCCACCCGCCCTTTGGGGGCAAAACGCACTCTGGGGCTTGTGAAAACTCAACTGAACTGGGATTGGGATCAAATGAACTTAACCAGCTTGTTATAAACAGTGTTGGTAACTATGGGTTATGATGGAAAATGTAAAACTACTAAGTTGGGGATTACAAATATATGATAGTGGTAGGGATTACTGTTTAAGTAGCTGGATTTTTGATAGTCGTAAGTTTTTGGCGAGGATTTATTTTGATTTTCGATGAGCTTGGCTTTGATTTTGAGAGTTACGTACTTCTTCTACTACACTCTGGGATTAAAGTATAGATTTTGGAGTTCATTTATATTTTAAAATCTATTAATAATGTGATAATAATATTACTTAAATAATTATTGCTATATTAATATTTTATTCATTTTAAAACAAGCTAAAAATGTTAACTTTTCCAAACTTTCTACACAAAAACAAATCTGTTCTTTGGCCAATTAAAAATCTAAAAATATTTCTAAGATTAAAACTGACTTTTATATGTTTAAAAACCAGCCATAAAATAGCCAAATGGAAAGTACTATTACTGGGGAGAAAAAACAATGCGGATATGTGGACGTTGAAATTGTGGCAGTATCGGCTGTTTCGCACTTAACGAACGGCTTTGGGTGCCTCAGTTTTGTTGCCCACGGCGCTGATTTTCCCGCATATATAGTACACATTTCCATTCAGCGGACATTTGGCATTTCGCCCCCGGATCGGGTCGTGGAGTATGCGTATTTAACATTTTTGATGTCGGCAGCGGTCCGTACTTTGGCTGCCCTGAAAAACGGGAAGGCGAAACTAATTTATTTCCATTAGTCGTCCGTTGGCAACGTCGACGACGTTGGCCACGTGAAATATTTCCGCTAATTGGCATTTGGCAGGCCATGGGAGGAGTAAGATCCAAAAAAAAAAAAAAAAAAGAGGGGGTAGAGGAGGATTCCAGAGGACCTTGTCCGGAAAGGCATTCTGTAATTAATCATTTTCTGATTTGGCATCGAGACCTACCACCGACCTGGGATGTGTATGTATGTACGTTGGCTTTGGCATTTTTCCGGGCATTTGGCGTCGCTTCGACTTCGCATTTTACGCGCCGTTAAAGTTTAATCGAAAAAGTATTTTTGTGGCCAATGAAAATTCCAATAACAAAATGCCAGCCACAACAACAAACTTCTTGACTTTTTTATGCCCAGCAGTTGGGGAGAAGTTTTTTGGGGATGCCCATCGTACTCTCTGGCACCTGTAGCCAAGTTGCTTTGGCTTGATTAGAGGTGGAGAAGTAGAGAAGGAGGAGGTAGGTGGATGGCATCTCACGGATCTGGACATTGATGCAGCGTGAGCCGGAGAATGCCTGCATTTGATGGACACTGTTGGCCCCGTGGCCCATCGTCAAATTGTCTGGCTGGAACTTTTGCAATGTGTTGCGTTTGTGGCCATTCGCAGGAAACAGGAAAACTTTTCCCTCTAATGCGCAATTAAGCAAAAATTTCAGAGGAAAGATAGCGATGAGGAGGATGATTATGATGGTTGGTGGTGGTTGGGCTGGTGGGCTGTGGTGTTTATTGTGGATCATCACCTGAACGAGAGGACAGACGACCATGGGTCAAAATACTTAAAATTGGACAGCTGTAGAGATGGGATGGGATCAAAGAAGGTTAGGAATTTAAACTGCAGGATGATGTCTCGGGGAGAGAAAAAGTTATTAGGGATTTGGGTGTAGAAATAATAGTTAGCAATAGTCTGGGTTTCATTTATACAAATAACTTACTTAAAGTTAGTTAATATACCCGAAAATGCTGTTGATTACTAAATATAAATGGCACTTTTTATAACTAGTTTAGAAATAGTATAAAAAATAGAAAGAGGACCACTTAAAATTCCCCTCTTTTAGCTTTACACTTGAGTACTAAGTCACAATTTTGAACAAAAACAAACCGAGAACATTTTCACTTTCCCAGTTAGTTTAGCAACTCCAAAATCTCTAGCCATGAAAATTGTATCTGTTTGACAAAAACACAAAAAAAAACAACGAAACAACAACAACAACAGCATAGCAGCACAGTTCACAGGTATAACCCACTACCAACCACAAAATACAAACACGGAGCATATCTAGCTGGGATAATCCTAGCACATAGCCATACAAAAACTCCGAAAATGGGTGCCCAGTTGTCCGGTGAAAAGCGTGCCGAGGCTGGCGGGACCAAAGAGGAAGAAAGGGCAGAAGGCGGGACTGGAGTACAGCAGGAGGATTTCATGGCCAAGAAGGCGGATGAGACGGTAAAGTTGGAAAATTCGGATAAGGAGTTGCCCAGAGAGGAAGAGGATGGAGAGTTCTATAGCAGTGATGAGCTACTCGACCAAGAGCAGGAATATATAGAACCAGTGTTTGGCGAAACACTAAAGCTAATGGGGCATCGATCGGGATATATAACCACTGACATACAGAGGATGTGAGTATTCCTAATGGAAACTAGTCTGAAGGGAAATTTTACCAACTATATGCAATTTTTTAATAAGATTTTTAATCTGTAAATATGTAACTTGTAACTACAAGTTCAGGCTTTAAGAAACCTTTTAACTGCTAAAACTAATAGCTCACTGTGGCCCTGCATTGTAATTAGAAAACTGCATCTAGTTGGGAATATAATGAGTGACTGATATTTAATATCCCACTTGGGGGTGTTTTAACCCTACAGGCCAACAGAGGCCATCTACGCAGAGTTCGAGCGTCTGATGCAGAACGTAGAGAGCCATTTGAAGGAAGTGGTGGATCCACCTTGTGCTGATATGGCAGCCAGACTGCAGACTTGCCTCCAGAACAATAATCAGCGTTCGTGTAACTGTTTCTCAGCAATGGAACAGTATCGTAACTGCATTGTTTTGGCCACTCAAAGGAGAGTAGATGACTTGGCCGAAAGGGATCCACCGATGATGCCGTATGTTCAGCCTCAACCAATGCCAGGTCCTGCTATACCGCCCCAGAAACCGCCATCGAATCGCAGGTGGTGGAAGTTCTGGACCTGGTTTCGTTAGCCAAGATGATGCAGTTGGCCTCAATCCTCCTCCTCATTCGTTGTCGGTTTTTCTCAAATTTCCTGGTGAAGATTTTCCTGGCCAACCATATTTAAGAAATTGCTTTATTAATTAAAAGCAAAGACTTGAATCCATTTAACTTGTGTTTCCTTGGGGCACAGCAGGTGCTGCCAAAAGGGATGTCTGTTTAAAGTGAATTTTTGGGTACGGTGGTGGCTCGAAAAATGGATTTAAGTTGTGGGAAAAACTTGTCTAGGGATCTTAAGATGTTTAAAAAAGGAAATTTTTAAGGTTTTTTGAGATTTTTTTTGTGTAAAATGTGAAAAATAATATTTTAAGAAGATTTCTTAAAGAAAGTTCTTAAAGTTATTAAATGCAAGTTTAAATAAGTTAATAAATCTGTTTTAAAGATTATTTTTTAATATAAATTTAACAAAAATAATAAATAAATATATTTTCTAATGATTACAAAGCCAATCCCTGAAGGAAAGTTTATAGATTTAAGATTTTTAACACAAAATAAGTTAAGGAAATATTCTTAAGTTGGTCTTGTTAAGTTAGTATTGTAAATAAGGCCTTGTTAAGTTAGTTTTCCTATAAAATTAAACCTTTAAAATAACTTTTAAGAATTGAAATCAACTTCCAATGACTCTCAAACCTATGTCAAAGCTAATTACCAAGAAACTGATTACGATTTCCGTTTTGATAATAAGCCAGTCATTTCACCGATTGTAAAGTGAAACCTCGATGTGGCTGTGTCAGGCACATTGAAAAATGCATTATTTGTGTCAGTCACTGAAAATCGTAATCAGGCATGAGGTATGCCGCTTCAAATTGAAATTTAAACTCAAATTCAAAGCCCCAGAAGAAGTTTTGCATTTCGAAAATGTAACATTTTACCGCAGACTGCACTCGTGTAATTCTATGCTTTCAATTTGTGCCAAGTCAGTGGTTGCTTTATGTCCATCATAGCCGGCTGTCACTGTGGCGGACAGGAGAGAGGTGGCTTATGGGTGTGTGGGTGGCTTCGCTTATGAAATGCAGATTGCAAGCTCCAGTTGCACATTAGCCCCGAGGGTTATCCCACTCCCCCAACTTTTCCCAGACTCTTCCTCTCTCTCTCTCTCTGTGTATCTGTCTATTCATTCATTTAAATGTCTATATCATGTGGCCAAAAGTAGGGGAGAAGGAAACAGCCAACAGCCGAGAATGCAGAATTGCAATTTGCAATAAAAGTAAATCTGCTATGGCGCCGAGCTCCGGTTCCAGCTGGCTAGCTCCTTACATTGTTATCCACCACCCGATCCCCGATCCCCAAACCCCAATCCTTATTCCAAAAACCATCTGCCACCATATGTGTTCGTCGTGCGGAGGTGTGTGTGTTTGTGTGTGTGGTTTCAGGTTGAAAGCCTTTCGGGCAAGGTAAGCAAACATTAGAATTTATTAAATCCAGCTCATGCAGAGCAGGGCAGGGCACCGCCCACTTCTTCGTTTTGCTAGAACGCTGAAAAAAAACCATGAGGAGGAGAAAAATTATAGCATATAAAACTCACCTTGCCACGGCTTCCAGCCCTAGCACATTCAACTTTTGGGCCAGGCCAACATAGAAACCTTCACACACACACACACACATACACTTCAGCGGACAGCAGATTCGCTTCTATTATCTTTTCACACACACACATATCTATATATGTATGTATATATCCTCGTACATATTTTCCCTTACATAATCCAACTTTGCTTTTAGCATTTGGCAAAACAAACAAAGTGGCAGTCCTCCAAAAGGAGTTTACACTGACCAAAAGCTAAGTGCTACGAGATCAGCCGATTATAATGGTTTAGGAGTATATATATTATAGGGTAGTGGTTGGAAAAAGCACTGCACTTTGGGTTAAACTTTGTTTTTAACGTAAAGGGAAATTCTGTTTCAGTTTATAGGTTCTTTTGGGATAGAGTAGATACTAAATATGATTAATTTAAGCATTTTTCGTGTGATTTATAGGGCTTATGATATATTTTTCATAGATATATATATCTATAAAATGATTTTATTTTAATAAAATAATATTTTCTATCAAAATGATATTTTTAAAGCCATGTAAAAGCTATTGCAAGGCACATACTGCTATATTTTCCTTTAAAAAATGTAATAAAATATATTTTAAAACTTTAAAAGTATTAAAAACCCAAACCTTAAACCAAGATAATAAGTTTATTCAATATTAATTATAAAGCTAACAAATTTTTCTCTCTGTACTAAACAGAGTTACAGGAAAATGGCTACAAAAATAGAAAAATACCGCAAATTGCATTTTATTTTGTGTCTCAAGAAATCCTAAGAAGTGATCTTACTAAATGACTAATCTCTGGGAGAAAAAAAACCCAAACAAGAGGAAACGCTATAGTCGAGTGTCGCGACTATAAGATACCCGTTACTGTTTTACACAATTTTAAAATATTAATTTTGCTAGTGGAAATTCACAAGGCGCCACCTATTGTCAGAGGAAGTATGTTGAGTATGCTTATAGTGACGTCACTGCCCATGTGGAGCCTTATAACCTTAATTTCTTCATAAATAGCGAAATAATGTTCCGATTTGAAAAATCTCTTGTAAATCGATAGATATTAACAGAAATAAGTTACACAAGGTCAAACGAAGGAATTCATAATAATATTATAGACTCCACAGTTTTCCGCGAGTTGTGGGCGTTAGAGTGGGCGTGGCCGGATGCAACTTTGTGGCAAGTTGCAGAGGCATCTCCTAAATACGTGTTTCTAAGCAAAATTGTGTAGCTTTTATAGTTTTCGAAATTTTTGCATTTTCGGTTTTTCGGGTTTTGTGGGCGTTAGAGTGGGCGTGGCGTGATCGGAAAAAAACAATTCGCATTGGGAGCATCATAGAAACATACATGCTTGATCCGAACTTTCTATCTCTTATAGTTACCGAGATATCAGCTTTTCTAGAAAATCCGAAAACCGTCTTTTGAGCCTTGTGGGCGTATGGGTGGGTGTGGCTGCATAGTAGAACCACTATAAGATGCGCTAGCATCTAAAGATTATACTTTTGAATTTCAACTTTCTAGCTCCAATAGTTCCTGAGATGTCAGCAGTTTTAGTTTTTTGCGATTTTTGGGCGTTATAGTGGGCGTGGCAGGATGCTGTAATAAACTTGCGCTGTCCCGGGACCTCAAGAATCTTCATGCTTAATCTCAGCTTTGTATCTGCTATAGTTCCTAAGATCTCAGCGTTCATACGGACGGACGGACGGACGGACGGACGGACGGACGGACGGACGGACGGACGGACGGACGGACGGACGGACGGACGGACAGACGGACATGGCTCAATCGACTTCGCTATTGATTCTGATCAAGAATATATACTTTATAGGGTCGCAAAAGCTTCCTTCTATCTGTTACATACTTTTCAACGAATCTAGTATACCCTTTTACTCTACGAGTAACGGGTATAAAAAGGCGAAAAAAATATTTATTTTCCTTTATGTTTTAAATAAAAAAAAGAAAAATAAAAGAAAAACCATTATCTTCTTACTGCTGAAGTAACAAACAAAAGTTAACAATAAAACGAAATGCATTCAAGCTCTCATGTTTGGGATTAAGTTTAAGTAGTTTGCGAAAAGGCTTAATAAACATCTTTATTACAAACGTTTAAGCACTAAAAATATATTCTTTTTGGAAAACTGTCCGATTATTTGTTTAAGCAGGAAAGGAAAAGCGAATAGGGAAAAGCGAGAAAAGGGAAAATGCAAACTGTCGTATTTGAGTTATTCGGTAGGATTTGCTGGGTAAGTTGTTACTTCCCCAGGAAGCAGGCGATTTATTATCGCAACTTAATCTCACAAAAAACACGTCAAACCTGAAAATCCTGCCAGGCTTGCCAAGCCATGGCACCAACCGCCCCCCTTTCGGCGTACGCCAATATAAGAAAGAAAAAAAAAGAAGAGGGGAAAGAAAGTGTAGCATACATTTGGTCGCTCGCTAGCGCTCGCCGTTGGCTTCATAAAAAACCAACTACATGGAGTGCGCATAGCAACAAAAACATGCAGGCAAATCACAGTGTACAGCGTTATGCCCCCTTTTTAGTGTTTTTTTTTTTGTATTTGGGAATCCCCTTGAAAACCAACGCCCCCCACCACTGGCAATTTCCATTTGGTTGCCCTTCTGCGGGAGTCTGGCACAGGGAAAAATGTTTATTTATTATAATAATAGCATTTAATGTTAGTTGTTTTGGTTTTGTAGATTGATTTACTAAGTGTGGGTTTTATTTTCTATAATATTTTAGGGTTTAGAGTGTAGATTTTCTTATTAATTAGCTGTGGGATTAATTTATTACATATTTTAACCCAAAAAAAACTATTTTAATTTAAACTATTCATATTTTAAGCTAAGATCTTATGATATATATCAGAATAATAGTAAATCCAATGCTTCTAGTTCCATATTAATTATTATTTACTTTAAAACCTTTAAAAAGTTACCTTTTTCTATGAAAAATGTTCTCTTTTGATTTTCTTCCTTAAGACTCCTAAAACCCCCTACGAAACCCCTTTTAAGTCACCACAAATTTCTTCCTGTGCCCTTCGCTTAGCCGTGTGTTTTTCGTTTGCATTTTTTTTGGTAACAGTTTTGCCCACTGTACATTTTTTTTCTTCTCTTTTTTGCTATTTTCCTCGTTGTGCCATAAAGATTATTATGAAAGTATTTTGCTAAGCTTTCTGAGTTGAGATGAGATGTGTCGGGTTGGTTTGGGTTTAGGTTTTGGGTTGTTGTTGTTAGATTTTGGTTGGGTTATGGGGGTAAAGGGAGGGGAAGTGGGCAGGAGTTTGGGTTTTGAAGTTTAGGTTAGAAGGGGGGTTCTTATTTTTATTATTTTTTTTTTCGTTATTTGGCGCCATCCCTGTTGCTCGCGCTATCTGGTTGAGCATCCGTCTCTGTCATGCCATTTGGCTGGCACTCTCGAGGCCTTAAGTGTGCATGCATTATGCCATGTGCAGGACGAGGACCAGCAGAACGTAGGATCCCCTTTCCAGCCCCCCCCCCTTTTGTGTATAATATGCATGCATGGATAATTTATCAGGACACACAGAGAACAGCTTTAAATTTGATTTAAGCCCGGGCTTCGCCGATTGCCATGTCCACTGCCATGTTCCTGTTCCTGCTTATGTCCATGTCCATGTCCATTGCCATTTCCATATCCATATCGCTGTCGTTTCGTTAGTGTGTATGTTGACCAACTGACAGCAGCTCAAATGCAATTAAATGGCCTGACCGCAGAGCAAAATCAAGCCCCAAATCTCAACTGAACTCTTTTCATCGAACGAAACTAGCAAATGTCATGTGGATGATGTCAGAGGGGGAAAAATTGGGTAGGGGACTTGCACTTAAATCGATGATAATAAAAGGGATTTTAAATAAATGTGTCAATCATTATTGTGTATATATAGATATATAAATTTGATAATAAAATCTTCATAAAAGTCGGAATATCATATTTTATAGCATACTTTTGAGAGCATTGTGTAAATAAATACCTAAAGGCTTGGCCAGAATCATAACATCTTTAATGAAAGGCATATTGCAAATATTTGCATTTTGCATTTTATATAAAAAACGAATGCAAAAGAAAATTATAAAATTTGTATTTGCCAAAAACTACGAGTGCAATAACAATTTGTTTAACCAAAAATACAAACAAATTGGCAGAAAAAAAACAACAAAATCGATTGCATATGGCAATAGGTGAATTTTTAATCACAAAAAGACGAGGAAAATAGTGCAGAGCAGGCCATGAATCATATGGGCTGCTAAGGCGATAAAACCCTAAAAACCCAGAAACCCTCATCAGGTAGGCAGGCAGGCAGGGAGACACCCACCTCCCGACGACCTCAATTTCTGCGGCCTTAATCCGCTGTCAGGGGAACCGTAGGAATACCATGTTGGCGAGTGTAACAGCCTGGCTTTTTGCCCATGCCCCAGACCTTACAGCATTTTTGATATGCTTGTAGTTTCGGTGTTTTCGAGTTTTTAGGATAGGGTAAGGAGGGGAAAGAAGTACTATATGTTCGGATATGGAAATGGGTTTGGATGAAGCGACGTCTTGCGGCGGGTTGGAGGCATATATGGAAATCGGATATAGCAAAGGGGATAGGAGGCAGGAAGGCAAGGGAGGAAGCCGGGAAAAGTTGTTTGTTTTTATGTTGTCGTCTTCAGCCGCGTTGCATAAGTGCATTTGTCTGTTATCCCCGACGAGCTTTTGTTTCGCCCTCGTCCTTGTCGTTTTTCCTTGCCTATATATCCCTCATACCCATGGCTATGAGGCTATACATATAGCCAAACCCATAGCCATGCCCATACCCATTCCCATACCCTTCCTTTCCATTTCCTCACACTAGTCCAGGCACTTGTTTTCAACGGAATCAATTTAGCGTAAGAAGTTTCAGCTCCAAGCTCGAAGTTGTTGTCATGTGCAGGCCAAAAGGAACAGGATGAGCCGGGGCTGTGGAGGTCAGGGGTTAGCAGGATGGACCAGTCAGGGTGAGAAAGGGGAGCTGGGTGTGGTGTGTGTGTGTGGTGCAATTATGCCAACGACAGCTGCCTGGCAGCCTCGTCGTCGCTCTATTAATCAAAAGTTATACAAAAAGCCAGCGAACTTCGCCACACGACTTGCCCCGGACCCCGTCTACGTCTCCGCTGCGCTCTCTCTCTCTCTCTTCCGCTTTTCCGCTATGCTGCACCCCCGACTTTTCGCCAGCTTTTCCTGGGCCCTGAGCCACATCTCCCTATTCCCAGCTCGATTTTGCCAGCTTTTGCTCCTGGCGGCGCCGGCTTCACTTCCTCATCCTGTTCTCCTTGTTGTTTGCAATTTAACTTTGCTGTGAGCGAAGGCTCTTCATGAGTTGGCCCAGGCTTATGTGCGCAAACACATAGATGCACTGAAAGAAAAAGTATATAAGAAATATGATGATTAGTAAGAAAAACCATTCAAATCTAAACTTTACTAGCTAAAAGTCTGTTAAAGGTAGAAAAAGGCAAGGAAACTTCTGGAAAAAGAAAACACATTTTCTTTAAGTGCTAGTTATCAGCGTGTCTGTGCGGCTTGTTGAGTAAAAACAAGATATAATATTTTATGAAAGCTTTGGCAACCACTGGCCCAACCGTATCCTCCGCTGCTGTTGGCCTCGCAATGGACTGGGACTCATTGGCCATAAATAAATAAGGCAGCCAAACACAATCAAAAACCAATGAAGCAGACCAGCAGCCACAAATGACAGAAGGAGCTGCTGCTGCTCGAGCTGCTCTCCTGGAGACCAAGGCGAGGAGGCATCATCATCATCATTTTCCTTCTCCTCATCGTTGTGTCAGCTTTTTGTCCTTGTCCTTGGGCTGCAATCTTTCGAGTAGTTGGCCATGATTTAATGCCCTAATCTTTTCAAGTACTTATATTTTTTTTTGGCTTCAGTCAGTTAAAATCTTCGCTTTCCTAGAAAGTGTGTTTAAATTTTTCCAAATTATTTTATTCTTTTTCAAATTATTTTCTAAGTCATTAGTAACTCCAACCATCTTGTACGCGATGTATCGTATAGATTCTAACATTTGCAACCTAACTTTTGGTTATCTGTGTTCAAGCAAAGGTAAAACCTACTCCATTTGCTCATGCCCAATGCCGTTGGGCGGTATTAATATCAAGCATATGCTGAATAACAATCTCTATGGCTGCCAGGCGTGGATTCCCTTCATTTTCTTCTATGTCCTAGTGATCAGTGTCGTTGGGGTGGTAAGTTTCTATGAAGATACTTCATTGAGAAAAGATAAGGGAAAGTTAATAGATATCTTAAACTGATAGATACACAACTTCATTGAGGTTTTTAACCTATATTCGGATAAGTTTGAAAAATATCTGATACGGATGTGGCAGCCAAGGATAACATTGATATTCAAGGATAAGCAATTGAGACGTTACCGATTAATCGGTTCTGTTTTGATGTTCAAGGCGTGGTCGAACCTACTATACGCCTTGCTATTTGTAAGTTCGAATTACAGTTTTTTATTAGATGTATATAATTATTGATATTGATTAAACCCCAGAATGATCCCGAGTACATTGAACTCTGGCTAGTATTCTCCTCGATTGCCATGTTTATAAATATGATCGTCATCGTTGTGGATTTTATAGCAAATTTCAAGACATACAGCCTCCGCTCCTTCGTGCCACTTCAAATTCCAAACCTTAACATGTTATGTGTAATCTTCCTGAAGTCAGCCATGGAATGGAAGATCACGAATCATGGATCAGGTATCTTTACTTAGCGGAAGCAAGATTGGCCAAGTCTTCTTTTCCAAATTTTTGTTTATATTTTTTGGAGACAGATAGATGATTTCTTTCATCGAATATATAGATTTTGGTAGCCTTGCGTGTTTTTCCTAATTTTTCATTAGGCATGTTGGGTGGGGGTTGGAAAGTCTCACTCTACTCGTTTTTGGAGGAAAAGTTTTCAGTTTAATTTAATTTGCTGCAGCATTCTAACTCGATTTCGGGCGTTTATCGTTAGGCGAGAACTTTTTAATTGCCAAGGCGGCGAAAAGGACACACGCTCTCTTGCGCGCGATGTGTTGCCACCATTTTTGTTGGCTAGTGTAAAAGTTTAAGAGGTTTCCAAAGAGCATCCGAAATGGGTGAAACTTTCAAGATAACAATATTAGTTTTTGAGAGGAAATAAAAAGGTTTCCAAAGGGTCTTGTTAGCTTAGCCTTTTCACTACAGTTAGCTTTTGTATTTATAAGTTTATTATTTTTTTTTTTCTAAGTAATAGTTCTTAAATATTTCTTTTAATTACCAACTTTAAGCCAGTTTGAGAGTAGGAAAAGTTTTAGCTTTAATTTTCGTCACTTCGTGATGTGCTTTTCATTTGCCCTAAACGTTTGCGCCATTTGACTTAATGAAGCTTAAAGACAATAAAACGCTTAAGCACACAACTTAGCCACGCCCTGCACCCCCCTAAACGCCCACCATCACACAAACACACAAAAAAACACACAGAGAGAGAGAGAGAGACACAACATTGTGTCAACGTCAAACGTCTTTTTCTTGCAACTTTCTGAGCTCGCGTCATAATTTCTATGAATTTTATACACTTTGATAAGCATTCCATTGGCATGCGAGGCACGTTCGAGTTTGCTGCCCCCCCTTAGAAAAGCCGCCCATCTCAGTCAGCACCCCCTGCTAACCCCCCCGTGCCATTCCAGCTGTTTGTTTTGCGAACTTTTGCCGCCGTCCATGTAAATCAGGCCAAGCGACAATTAAACGCGCCAAGCACGACAATACTTAGAGCTAATGGCTACGGACCTGAACCTCGGACAATCAAAAAAAAAATAGAAAAAAAAACATAGATGGGGTGGGCTATTAAGGGGGCAGCGGGTTGTTGACCATACAAGAGAAATTGCGCCTAAATATGGGAATTTTAGCCGGAATTTTGAGATTTTAGGGGCCAGAAAATTGGTTTAATGTTTTTTTAGAGATCTTTTTTATATAGAAATATTTTATAAAAATTGGGAATTATTTTTTTAATATTTTTAATTAATTAATTTTATATTTATTTCCTTATTTGTTATTATTTTTTATTAATATTTATATATTTTTCATACTTTTTCTATTGCTAAGACTTGTCTGTCATTTTTCTTAAAAAGTTTAAAAAATATATTTCATTCTATTTACCTCATAAATCAGTTTATTATCAATTTATGTTTATTTTTATTAATAATTAGTATGTTAGTTATTAATTTAAAATAAAATATCAAAAGAAAATGAAATTATAATGAATTATAGTTCAGAAATTTATAGAAATCTGTACTCTACATACTATTTTAAGAATATTTATTATTAACTTAGCTATTTTATCAACTTACTTGCTTACCTAGCCTTAAGTTTCCTTAAGCTCCCTTCATATCAGCCATCAGAATAGTATATATTCCCAAACGATCTTAAATTTTCTCTCAGTGCTGGCCAAGCCTTTGGCGTTTCCGCTCCCATTTCCGCTCGTTGGCCGAAAAGTGTAAACAATTAAATTTTAATTAGAATTCGCATCGCTTGACATGCGACATGGAAATGGACGAAGCCAGGAAAATGTCAGTTGCCAGTTGTCCGGAAAATGGGGCGGGGTGGGGGGAAGCCTCCACCTCCACACTGGCCACTGTGGAAAATGTCCTCAACCAGGGCACAGACCATCACCCACTTAACCCACTCACTTACCCACCCACCAACACACACACACATAGCGAAAACCGCACTTCCGATCTCCGCCACCGACACACAGACATTTCATTTCCGTTCTCTCGTCTGCTTGTTAATTTATTGGGCACCTCCAGACCATATCCCTAGACCCCCTCGGAAAGGTCCTGCTTTCGGTGTACAGAGTACAGAGTACCTTCATCTACTTCCTCCTCCTTCTGCTCCTGCTCCTGTTCCTGCTTCTCTGTATCCTTCATTTTTGGACCGCCCGCCTGCTGTGGCTGAGGTGCTCGAAAAGTGCTTGTAAATTAAACGGCTGACAGTTAATAGAAAACCGAAAGCCTCTCATTTGGCACATTTGCGGCCTGCGCTTTATGTACTACATACAAGGATATATACGAGTATATATATATATAGATTTATATTCCCCAGTTGGTGCTGTTTGATGGATTGCCGGCTTAGTTTTAGCCAGTTAACTGCCGCAGCACTCGACAATTTATGCTACCAATTCGGTAAGGTGTCGAGGCCCGTAAAATATATATATATATATATATATATGAGGTGATGGCAAGTCGGATGGATGGCTGGCTGGGCTGGGCTGGGAGGTAGGTGTAAGACGGGTTTAACTCAAATTTTAATGCCCAAATTGTGGCTAATGAAAATGTCTAAGAGTGTTCGGATGATTTGTTGATTTTGTTTAGTGGCCTAACAAGGTCATAAAGATTACGGGTCAACAAAAAGCAAATAATACACACGACTAAATAAACGTAATACAAAGCCAAGTAATGCCAGGCCATATATTATTCGTTAGAGAGTTGGTCGTTTAGGGTGAACTTGGGTTGAGTGGTGTGCATTTAGGGTGGACTGTGATTTAACAGTTTTTGAGGTTTTCTTTCAATGAATTAGTATTTGTAAGAGATTTAGTGTACTTAGTGTAATTGTTAGTTTTAACTTTCTTGTTTTAAGAAAGTGCTAGAACAAGTTGGGAATTATAAGGACGTAGAGTTAGAAAATGCTTGAAAAATTTAATACTTTGATATTTTTCCTTAAAAAGCTAATGGGTTTTCATATACAAATCATTTTTATAAACTAAATCCCTAGGGATTTCACATTCCCCAAACAGATATCACGATTACTGATTTATTTAATGGCTTAAAAATAAAATTTGGCAATTTGTCAAGTGATTGCAAAGCTGAAAGGAAAGCCTGATTTTTATATTTGAGTTTCCTTGTCTTGTTATCTTATTTATTAGTTTATTTATCAAACACTAACCTAGCCCAAGGCAATACTGTCAATATATCATATCATTCCAACGATTTAAGTTCATATTCCTTCAACTTGCTCTACCTGCTGCGATTTATTGGCAAGTTTATCTTGTTTAACCAGCTTCCCTTAACTTTGTGTTAGCTGCAATTTTAGATCGGATCTTTGGAGTTCCGTTGCTAAACCGAATAAGCCCGACAGACTACTCTGCTGTCCCAGCTAATTTTCCACAGCCCGCGGATCCGGATGACGTTGCAAATCGCAGCCACGTCGCAACATCCCCAAACCGCCCCCCTCCCCATTCCCATCCCAAGCAGCATCAACAGCAGCAACAGCAGCGGGTTAATCCAAACTGTCGCCAGAGTTGGCAGGCTGACGGGTTTCGTAGAATGTCCGGAACGTAGTCCGGAGCCGGGAGTTGACCCAGTTTACGCCGGAGTTATGGCGCTGAACGGAACTTGCAGCACATTTCCTGTTTTCTTTTTAAGGTGAAGAGTGAGCTGGGGGAGATTTTCAAGCCAACCTCCTGCTTTGCCCCCAAATCCCTAAACCAACGCCGCCACCCCCACAAAAAAAAAAGAAGGAAAACTCCCAACCCGCCAAGAACTCATCGATGTTTATGGGACGCCACTAAATTTCGATAACAATAAAATATGATTTTTGCCTGGCGGGGAAATCAAAGAGCAAATGCGCATACATATAAACATATTTATATACATATATATATCAAGATATATACGGGTATAAATACACATATATATAAAAAAGAAAACACGAAAAGAAATTAAGGAACTGGCCGGAACCCGGAAAAAAGGACACCAAGTCACTGTGAATCAGGATGGCGTAAAACAAACAACAACAAATATGTCTGAATAAAGAAAAAATAAACTTCACTTTTGGATGGTTTTTTTTTTCTCCCCTAAAACGAACTGCCAATGCTCTAGGAAAATCTTATTCCTTAAGAAAAACTTTACAATGGAAAATGAAAGATTTTCTCCAAAGGATATAGAAAAAGGGAATACACCCGAGCCGATCAGGCTGATGCACACAGATCCAACAAAGCGCAGAGTAAATATTACAAAAATGTATTACACAAGGCTTGCCACGGATAGGCGCGGGCGTTGCGGAAAATGGGGAAAAGGAAAAATGGCAGACGTGACAAAAATGCTTAAGTGAAAAGTTACGAGCGAGCGGCGGAAATCGCTTTTCCCCCTCTCAGCATCTTCTGTTTCCCTTTTTTTTTTTTTTTTTGCTTTCTTTCTTTTCTTTTCTTTACTTTATTTTGCTTGTTTTCCCAGACCCCCTGCATAAAAAAAAACTTGTTTCGCGCATTTCGTTTTCCCTTCTCCAGCTTTTTTCGGCAGCGTTACGTTTTTGTTTTGCTCTCGCAGCTGCTTAATATTTTCTTGTTTACGCTTTCTTCGGGGGCAGTGGGTGGTAAAAGTAAACTGTGAGAAAAATTGAGTTATGTTTGATATTCTGTATGATTTTTCGAATGTATTTTTTATTTAAAATATTTAGAAAAACCTTTATTAAGTTTATTAAGTTGTATATTTGTATTATAAATAAGAAGAGATAAGAGTATCATAAAGATTATATATGATAAGAATTTTATCAATATTTTATACTTCATATTTATTAATATTTTTATTTATATAATAATAATACTTACAAAATTTTATTTATACCTTAAATTTACTTTAAAAAATGCTTTAGAATTACATAAAAAGATTATTTAGACTTTTAGATTTTTTCATAATATTTATTAAAACCCTTTCCTATATTAAATTATTTTAAAATACAAATATTAAGAAATAAAATTTCTATGGTGGAAACAACTTCTTAGAGGCGCCTAGAACTATGCAGTGTAAAACGTAACTTCATTTTTCGTAATGAAAGGATTACAGTTTTAGAGTC